GGGGGGGGGGGGGGGGGGGGGGGGGGGGGGGGGGGGGGGGGGGGGGGGGGGGGGGGGGGGGGGGGGGGGGGGATGATGACGACATTGGTACACAGACACCCCGAACAATATCTCCACAAGAGCCGTTTCACTCGGTATTTACAGTACTTTCGTGATGGCGGACCCTCTTCTACAATGATGATGGTTGATGATGGTGATGATGATGATGATGCATGATGAAGGATGATGATGGATGATGATGATCGATGATGGTGGTGGATTGAGGCGCCAGGTGGTTGGTAGGCGGGGGGGTGGCTAGTAGTAGTAGTAGTCGTCGTCGTCGTCGTAGTCGTAGTCACAGTCGTAGCAGTTGCAGTAGCAGTAGCAGCAGCAGCTTTAGTTGCGGTTGTCGTCGCAGAGTACGAGCAGGAGAGGCTGCTGCAAACAGCCATGCCGTTGATAAAGGGATGGTGCTGTGGAGCGGTTGTCGTCGTGGTGCTGACGGCGGTGGCGGTGGCAGTGTTGGTCGTGCTGGTTCAAAGGTCGGATACAGGCAACACATCCTGCTCCACATATCCGTCATCAGAATCCCTCAACATGAACCCACTCTGTCCTTGGTGATTTCCTACCCAAGTCCTGCCTCGGACCATAGGATAGGATATTGCAATGGTGCATCGGCCGCCTGACCAATGGTCACTTTATCAAATCAAACCCTTGGGCTCTACACCTTCGGCCATAACCTGGGCCACAATAGGCAAACCGACTCAGGCAAGTCACGCACTGATCGTCTGCCTTGACCGCACTAGCTCGTGCCTTGAAGCTCAGAGCTTGTTCGAAAGCCACTAAGCCTATGAAACCCATGTTAACACTTTCAGCTATTGCTTTCCTCTGCAGAACGATGAGGGACACCTACGCGGAACTTGTCAGTCACTTACTTCAGAAGATCTGACACTCTGCCGACACAGCCTCGTCCCCGTTTGCCACCTCGGTTTATTAGCTAGCGCAACGCAGCAGGTACGGGTTCTGCGGCAGATGTGGCTCAGCGCGGCTCTGCAGCCTCGAGCACGGACAGTGCGTTCGACACCTGCAAAGCTCCGTCGCCAAGACTGCACTGACAGAAAAGATGGCTCTAGTTGAGACTCGACCTGAAAACTGGAGCATGTTCAGGCTGATTCAGGCTCGCTTCAGCTCGTATCTTGTTGCTAGACGCTCGACCAAGGTCGCTATCAGCACAGCCCATGCCTTCGCCAGGGAGTCCTCCACTTCCGTCATGTCCCGGGCTTGGTGAGAGATTTTGTCCTCTTCGTCGATCTGCTCTCCGGCGAGCTTCAGCCATCTTTCTACGACACTCTGGTCGTCCATGGAGCTGCTGTTGTGGCTGCCTGAAATGCGATCTGCAATGGAACCACCAAAGAAGCCTCCGGTGTTCTTGCTTGCCACAAAGATATCGGCGGTCTTAGGATCGATAAATTTCCGCAAATTCCGCAGTCTCCGGTGAAGCCTCGCATTTCCAGAGAAGGAGCGTCGAAGTGCCAAGATGCGAGCCTCCCAGACGTCAAGCTGAGCAATCAAGACTTCTGAGGGCAAAGACACGCACTGCTCGATGCCCTCAACCGGGAGTGTCAGAGTAAGGAGCGCATCCCGGGAAGTGCGCACAGCCAGCACCGCCTGTGCCATGCGCCCCGCGTACTCCTCCAGTGCCCCGTAGCTCAGCTCCTTGGAGCTCTGGGGCTCCCTGATGAAGTCCAGCTCTTTCCCTTCGACTAAAGGAAACATCAGCTCCAAAAAATCCAGGCATTCGCTGACCTGCCGTCTGTAAAACCCGGCGGCCAAGAGCTGCTGGCCAATATGGAGGTGTTGATCAAAAGCGAGCTGCAGGTCCTTGACCCACTCCTTCGAGGTAATTTGGCTGACCCGAAGTTTCCGGACTTCTGCATGTAACTGTCGCACGCTCACACTGCACTGAGCCAACACTTGCTTGGCACTGGGCTGAAACTGGCCCGAATCGCTGCCACCCCCAGGTTTGAAGGTTGAACCGCCGATGCTTCCCACCGCGGGCTTGGGCTTGTCGGGCGGCGTGCTGCCTGGAAGCGCTTGTATAGCAACAGCCGCCTCCTGCAATGCTGTGATGGCTGGCAGGGGCTCCTTGCGAGCATCATAGGCATCAGCGAGGAGCACTGAAGCCTCCTTAGAGCAGCATTCAAAGATTTCTGCGACTACGAAGCGGGCGTGGGATGCAGCATACTCTCGTTGTGAGCAGACATCAAGCTACCACCGCAAGGTAGTGTTTCATACATGAAAGAGGCTAACTTAGATTCTTAGAACATGTAAATTATGTAAACATTAACATAACTGCAGCCCTGTTTCTGTGCACTGCCGCAGGTCTGCCACCTCTAGCTCGTGGAGTGCACGGATCACCTCGCCATGCTGGCCCTCCATCATTGCAATCCGCGCCCGCGTGAGAGCCAAGTCTCGCAAGGTCCGGCCATCACCATGGACCTTGGCATGGTGCTCTGCTTCGCTGGTCAACGTACAAGCCATGTACAGCTCCGCGTGGTGCAAACACTCCTTGCCGAGCTCTGCCCAAACTTGGTAAGCGTAGAGCTGGCCGATCGACCAAGGTGCTGCGACCCGATGTTTCTTGCTGGGCAGCTGGACAGAGAGCCAGGGGGGGTCCGGAGTGTCTGCGCCACTTCGTCCCGCGCGTTCGCTTCTGACCTGCTCGAGCTCCTCTTTGAAGCCACTGAAGCTTTCGGGAAGTTCCTGCAAGGCTGACTCTGCCTCCGCCTGGAGAGCCTTGGCAGCTTCCCGCAGGCGGCACGCAGCGGCGAAGCGCGCCAGGCGCAGCTTGGCAACGCAGGAGACAGCCAGCTTCACAGATGGGCTTTCGAAAGAGGATGCCAGCTGACAGTGCAAGCAAAGCAATGGCAAGGCCATCAAATGGTAGCCGTGCTCTTCCAAGTCGTCTTCCAGCGCCAGCAGACTGAAGAAACTCACCTGTGGCCTGGAAAATGCATCCGGATGCCCCACCCAGGTGCAGGTGCTGCTCCAAACTAATCCTGCAAGCTCGGCACGCTTGAAGACTTCTGCGATGATGGAGGGCGGAGAGTCCGCAGAAGCAGCTGATTCCCTCCAAGGCCATTTCTCCATGTAGGCCCAATCTGCTAGGCGCACTGGCAATGAAAAGCACGGTGCCAGGTGTACAATCTCCTTTTCCTCCTGGCGAAAGTAGTGACTGCATGTGAAGCTTTTTCCGACATCAAATCACTTACTCACTCCTTCTTCGCCATCGTCGTCGCTTCGGCAGGTGCATCTCCTTCCTTCTTCAGCTGCGCGGCTTGGTTACATGTTCCAAACAACAGAGAAAGTTCGTGACTTGCTGTGTTTAGACACTCGGGTGCCCGGCCTTCTGCATCTTGTTGTGGAGCTCTTGTGCAAAGGTATTTGCCAACCTAGATAGCAGGTTAGCGTGTGACGTCGCATGTTGGCGGGTGTCGGCAAGAAACACGACAACACACTCGCTTTCATTCTTCATATTCCAGGTGGCTCTTGACCTAACCCAATGTTCCGGAGTAGACTATGTTTCTTGCTAGGATAACCAGCCACCGACATCATGGTCGGCATGGAGCATCGCAAGCAGCAAATTCCAAGCAATGACTTGGATGAGTCAAGTGGACTGCCTGAATCAGTATTCAGTATTCCGTGTGCGGCTGGCCACTTAGAGTAGGAAGGCGGGCTCTCTCCACCAAAGTCCGGAGCCCACATACCGGACACCCATGCAAGCAAGGGTAAGCCGCACATACAACAGTTGTGACAAGATGGATCAAACTGCGATGTTCGCTTTCATAATTTCTTGGTGTATGTTAGCTGTTAGACTTCACAGGGACAGGCGTTGGACCAAGCAAAAGCACTCATCGACTCCATGTGCTCTTCGTACACGCAGGCGCGACCAGGGACAGTAGGCACAAGTACAGCTGCAAGCAAGGGGGCACAACTGCTGTTGTTCCAGCACATACCAAAAGTTGAAATCGAAGCACTTGAACAAGCTGTCGCCACTGCAGGGAAAAGCGGCTGTGATCGATGACTAAAAGTACCGAAAAGCTCAGATTTCATCGCTTTCACAATGCACAAACACCCCTTCCAAGGCACATGCTGCTTTTTTTGGCAAGGAGCTCCACCGACGACTCGAAGAATCTCATGGCGAAGTGGGAAGCGGCTTGAAGCGCCGTGTGGACTTCCATTCCGACGGTGAGTTGCGCTTTCAGTCCCTGAATCCGGCAAAGGGATTCGAAATTGTGACAGAAGAGTTCTCCCTCCAGGTCGTCATCTTCCTCCTGCTTTTGCTGCTTCTTGGACTTTGCTGCAATGCTGGCACTCTTCTTTGAGACCCGGGATCCTGCGCGAGATCCGGCTCGAGATCCGGCTCGCGACCCTGCTCGGGAGCCGGCTCGGGACCCAGCCCGAGAACCGGCCCGGGAGCCCGCCCGGGAGCCTGCGGCGCTCTTGCCTGCCCTGCTCTTGCCGGCGCGTGAGGGAGCCATGGCACTCTTGCCTGCTGCGCTCCTGCTCGCGCTTCCCTTCTTCTTCTTTTTCCGTGACATGCGGCTGGCCTGACTTCCGGCACGGCTGCCGTGGCGGCTAGACTTTCCTGCCTGACTCGCGGCCTTGCTGCTGCCGATGCGACTTCCGGCCTTGCTGCTGCCCTTCTTGCTCCCAAATTTGGACTCGCTCTTGTCCCAGTCCGACGGGGCCACAGAGCTACCGTCGTCACTTCCATCTCCCTTGCCGTCTGCATGGCCGGCACCATAGTAGTCATCATCACCTCCCGCCTCCTCTTCATCCTCATCCTCGGAACCTTCCTCAATGTCAAGCAAGAGATCCGAAGCAGCTGCTAGCTGCTCTAGAGCGTCAGAAACTGGAAAACCATTCCGCAGCAGCCAGTCGGCAAACTGCATGCGGACTTCCACCACCTCCGGTTGCAGCCCAGCTTGCAGGACATTGATTGCCTTGGTGAAGGCGTTGATTTGATCTTTTGGCTGGGAGCTGGCGGAAACCAGCACCAGCCAAATGTTGGCCTGAGCCTTCGCTTGGCTTTCCTGGTGCAGGACACTTCCTAATACAAGCATGTGCCAAGTTGACGACCTCTAACCATCAAGCGCCCTGCCTTCATCTTTCCCATGGCGACTGTGACGTTCTTCCCTTGATGGCTGAGTGCCAACATCCTGAGTGCCCAAAGCCTCCGATGACTGGAGCTGGGCACTGCCACGAAAGCATCTTTCAGCATGTCGTGGATCTTGTCCCATTGATGCTGGTCGGCGTAGCAATCCTCATCGCCGTGGAACACTGCTACAGACTCCAGCGAAAGAGACTTTGACAGTTGCGGCTGGGCTTCGTAGAGAGCTGCATAGAGGGCTGCGAAGAAGTAAGGATCTTCGTTGAACTTCACCTCCTGACAGGCTTGTAGGCTCAGAGGGCCGTCAAAATGGGAGCAAAGGTTCTCGGGCACAGGCTGCAAGAGCGCGAGTGGCTTTGAGGTACGGCTCGACGAGCCTTATGCGTCTGGGCAGATGAAGCACCACTTCCATCTTGGAACACTCAATGCTGACAAGAGCGCAGCTGTCGCGTCTCTCCAGAATGCATCAGGGGCAGCGACACATTCCTCGACGGGGGCACGATGGAACGTTTTGCACATTGGTCTGTCTCTTTTGGGGCTTCGTTGCACAGGTTTGCCAAGCAAGGCATATATGCCACCAAGACACCACAACGAGCTGGCCCCAAAGCTTGCCAGCTCCTTGCAAGCTGGGGCTGCCAAGCTATTGAAGCTGGCTGGTCTCCATGTTCATTTCCGTTTTTGACTGTCAGAGCTCAGGGCCTAGGACTGCAATGCTGGAGCCTGGTGACCATTTGGCCGCGTAACCATCTAAAAACGAAACCCGTGGACAAGCTCTCACTGCCGCAGTGCTGCGTGGTTGCTGGTCGCAATGGCATAATCGCAGCAGCTCTCGAATTGCGAAACAGACATGCGCCTGCGACAAGAACATGAGCAGATGTCGAGAAATTGCCAACCCATGGCACATGTATCATGTAACTTCTTCCTCTAGCCTCATGCTCTGCTGCTGGCAAGACTGACACATGAATTCGCAACGGCACCTGAGCTTGGTGAGGCTTTCCTTCTCCTGCCAAATTCAACTTAGCAGCAAGAAAAGCGACTCTACTAGCAGCTGGTTGCCAAGACCACGTCTAGAACCTCAGCGTGTCCCTTCACCGGCCTGCTTCAGTGGATCCACCAGCGATGCGAAAACTTCACCGCACAGTGCGTGGCAAGCGCCGCGCCAGCGCAGAAGCGATGGAGAGGCGTACCTCCCAAAAAAAAGCCAGTCGCGACGAAGAACCGACTGCAGAGTTTGCGTGGCCAGCGCACTTCGGTATGGGTGCATTCAGGTCTCCCAAGCCCTGCACTCCGCACATCAACGCATGCTTCGCACCTTGGCGTAAAGGAGAGGCCAGAAAGTTGGAGAAAGTATTCCAGCACCAGTCATCCTCATCCCATGTTCCAACTTTCGGGGCGGTTCACTCTAAACAACATTATACCGGCGAAGACCCTAGATAGCTGCGGAAACATCATGGCCTTTCTTTTTTGTTTAGCGCTGTTTTAGGCTCAGGTTTGCCAATCTGCGGATTGCACGCCCTGGGCTCATTTTCGTCTACATCTCGGCCTTTCCATTCATTCGGGTCGCTCGGCCGGGCGTTTGCCAATGTCACGACTTTCTCTTCTTTGACAGTGACGGAGTGACGGCGATGTATCCGTGTGCCTCTTGTCTGCCACTTTTCGCCAGTCAATCGGGACATTTGCGCTGGCATTAAGTCTTGGAAGCTTTGATTGAGGATCGAGCCTTTCCTTCTTTTGCGTGGCTGTGCCGGACTAGTTTCAACTGTAGCTCATTCACTGCTGACGTGTCATACGAGTAACCACTGGCACTCTTCATACCCTGTGCCGCAACAATCGGGCCATCAATCTGCTGAAAAGGATCAAACGAGCTGTCATGCAAATCCGACACTCCACGCCATCCCTATGCACTAAGCTCTTGCTCCATTCCCGACAACACATCAGGCAAACATGTCGCTGCCATTCTCGCCGCATTTACAACGGCATAAGGAATTACAGTCGGTGTCAGGTGCACCAATGTACCCCGTCGCACAGTCGGAACAGGGTTTCCAATCGAGTCAAAGGCCACTACATTCCAAAAATCCTGCACATGTTCCTGGGCAGCTTTGTTGGATCCAGGAGCGCATTTTGGTCTTGTGTTGGACCTGGGCTATGCGTTGGGTCCTGCCCGGCCCACCACAAACACACCCACAACAAAACACACAACGTTAATCAATGATCTTCGTTCATCCAACACCCATGTATGCATTCCTGTATCTCCCCTTTGCACCTCTCCACTTCTCCCGTGGGTCCCTCCTATTTCCTCATCTCAAGCCACTCAAGCGCGTCTCCTTTCCTCTGCCCCTCTCTCCTCTTCCAGGACCCACAGTTAAGAGCTTGGGGAATAGAATCAGGGATTTTCTGAGTGCAGGCTGCTAGTTTCCGAATGAAATCTGCTTTCTTGCTAGCATGCTGCGTGTCCAACCCCTGCCCTGTGATCCGACAACATGGAAGCTAAGGAAGCTTTGTTGCAGGTGTTTCAGCCTCGGATATTTTGTACTTAGCCACGCCCTCTGAAAATATGTCAAGAGTCTGCTGGGGGCGGGGAGCTTTTCTGGAGTCAGGTGTGTCCGTCTGCACTCGCGTGCGTGCGTGTGTACGCTTCTATCACAAAGTAGATTGCGAAACTTTAAACTTCTGTTTCGGTGGGAGGCCCTCATCTGCCCCCAGAGGGAGACGGAGCTGGGGGAGTTGTGGGGTGGCCTGGGGTCTGTGGGGCTGGCTCCCGCAAGCCGGAAGTCTAGGTTGGCAAGGAGTTTCTGGTGCTTTAGTAGTTTGCGTTTTTTTGTGTTTCTTTTGTGCATTTTTTGTGGGTATGTTCGGCAGCTTATGCTTCTTTGTGGTGTTTCGGGTGCTGCTTTTTGTTGTGTTTTGTAATTGTAGTTTGTGGTGTTTTTTGAACATTTATTGTGGGTATGTTTGTGGTTTTTTGTTTGTGTTTTCCCCATACGGTGATTGAAAAAATGTTTAAGTTTTGTGTGCGCTTCTGTGTTTTTTCTGATGTTATTTTGTGCTTGTGTTTGGTAGTTTGTGCTTTTGGCGTGTCTGTCTTTTGCTTGCCTGTTTGGTAGTTTGTTGGCTTTTGTTGTGCTTTCCTGTTTTAAAACTCGCCTGGGAAAATCAAATTTAGTCTCAGAACTGCTGTGTCTTTTTCCAGCCCTGCGTAGGCCTGCCGGCAGCTTGTCCGTAGTCTCTGTCCAACCCCGTGCAGGCCTCCCGGCAGGTTGTCTGTACTATCGGTGCAAGCCCCGCGCAGGCTGTCTGTAGCCTTAGCCAACCAGGGGCGGGGGCGCAGCCTGAAATAGTGATCTATCTGACTCCTGGACCTTTTGGCCTGGCCATAAATTGCAAAGCCATTACCACCCAGATTATGACTAGGAGACCAGGATTACGGTGCATTGTTGAAACCCCATTCATGTAATCAAATTGTGCTACTAAGACATAGTCTACCAGATAAACAGTACATGATGATAGAGCCATATAGTCCTGTAAACATATAATGGTATGGTGATAAAGTGATACAGCGATACTACTCGGAATTTTGTGTTATACAGTCTACATTATGCACAATACGTCATAAAACTTACAAGTTAGTGCAGATGGAAGCATTCTGAAAACTTGATTTGGATGATGCTCTGGGTTCTGGCCAGGGCCATGAGCTACTGCCAGCCTCTACATGTCAACCTCTGAACTCTAGACCATGGTAGGCTATCGGACCATTGATAGGCCATGGGCTGGTACTGCTATACTGTACTTTGTATACCATAACTATACGTGTATAAGTTCAGTAACCATATAGGCTATATGAAAGCTATATGTTTGTTGATGCCGTCAACATAATCAAACTATGAACTATGTGACACGTATAAACTATAAATCTAGCAGTCTATACAGTAGTTTTCCGGTATACCGTTTATACGTCTATTACAAGTAAACTTACATGCATATGGTTCGCAACCTATTATCTCTGTATTCATTCTGCTTGGTTAAACCTTTTGCACACTCGCAGTGTAACATACAAGCTATAACGTACACTTTGGTGTATTTTCATTTGTTTGTCAGCCCCGTTCCTATGTTGTCTTCTGTCAGCATCATACGGATCGACTGTTCGCGAGTAACTGTGCTATCCTGGTTCTCAACTACTCGACTATTGAATTGCCTGCTGCCTAAAGTGTCTATGGCTGGATTCGATCTTGGTTGGGGCTATGCTTGGCCGACCTGGATTGCTGCTGGGGCTGGGCTAGGCTTGGCTGGCTGCTGGGTGCTGGACTAGGGTGGGCTGGCCTGATGCGGGATGGCTGAGCATGTTTGGCTGGGGCTTGGGCTGCACAAGGACGTACCTGATGTGTGTTTCTATGGCCCCCATGCCAAGCCTACATAAGTTTCTTGGTGCTCTTTTTCGAGTGTGCGTTGACTAACAAAACCATTCTTGAACTGTTAATTACTGTTCGGGGGCAGGACCTAAGCTGACATCGGCTAGTGTAGCTTTCAAGCCCGACATCATTTTCCCAAAGCTCTGCAAAAAAACAAGTACATAGTTTAACTGATATTTCTCTGGCCATTTGGTTGGGTCCAGGAGGGCTTTTTGGGATGAGTCTATGCACTTGTTGGTGATGCTGGCTAGCGGCTAGCTTTCAAGGCTCAAGTCAGCCGCCAGAAGCTTTTCAAAAAATCAACCAAATTCAATTGATTTCTCCTGGGAATTTTTGTTGTGTCCTGGTATTTATTGGACCCCCTGCGCCGGCTTTGGACACGGCGCGCCTCTGCTCTGCCCTTGCCCCTGCCGCTGCCCCTGCCCCTGCCCCTGCCCTGCCCTGCCCTGCCGGCGGACACCGCGTGCCTCACCTGCATGCCACCTGATGGACACGGCGCGCCTCACCTGAATGCCACCTGCATGCCGACTGCACGCCGCTGCACCCCCTCGCCAGCGGTGGACAGAGCGGGTTCCTTTTTTCGCTACAACCCCTAATAGCTAAAGCGAGAGATAGATAGATCGATTTATAGATAGAGATAGATAGACAGATAGATAGATAAATAGATAGAAAGACAGATAGGTAGATGTACCGACGGATAGATAGATGGATAGATAGGTAGGTAGATAGATAAGTAGGCGGGTAGGCAGGTAGGTAGGTAGGTAGGTAGGTAGGTAGGTAGGTAGGTAGGTAGGTAGGTAGGTCGGTGGGTGGGTGGGTAGGTAGGTGGGTAGGTAGGTAGGTGGGTAGGTAGGTAGGTAGGTAGGCAGGTAGGTAGGTAGGTAGGTAGGTAAGTAGGTAAATAGACAGATTCAGAGAGATACATAGATAGACAGATTGTTTGGGCGAGAGATAGACTAAGATGCAAGAGGATCAGGATAAGATAGGATAGCAGTGGACAAGAAAGGATAGGATATGATAGATGTGACCGCATAAGATGAGGTAGGATAACATAGGATAAGATAGGATAAGATCGCAGGGGATGGGGTGGGATATGACCAGATAGGATACAAGATGATCTGATAAGACAGGAAAAGCCAGGACAAGGAAGCACAAGATGAGATAGGATGGAACAGGATAAAGATAGGGCAAGAAAGGATGATAAGGTAAGCTAGGCGAAGATTAGATAACATGGGACAAGATAGAATAAGGCAGGACAAGATAGGACGAGATAGGATGAGATGGGATCGGACAGGACAAGAACAGGTACGTAGATAACACAGATAAGATAGGATCGGATGGGACAACATAAGGTCGATGAGATAGATGAAACTGCTTAGGGATACGATAGGAAAGCACAGATGAGATGCAGATAAGGTTATGATAACACAGATTAGACAGGGTTTGATAGATAAGATCGGGTGTGACTGGCAAGTTAAAAACAGGTTGGTCAGTTAGATAGATAGATACATAGATAGATAGATAAAAAAAGATAAATAGATGAATAGATAAAAACAAATAGATAGATAGATAGATAGATCGATAGATGGATATTATCATATTATGTGTAGCGGTATGGCGAGCGAGCGAACCCGAGAGAGAGAAAGAGGCAGAGAGAGGCAGAGACAGAGAGAGACAGAGAGACAGAGAGACAGAGAGACGGAGAGACGGAGAGACGGAGAGACGGACGGACGGACAGACAGACAGAGAGAGAGAGAGGGAGAAAGCTTGTATGTATGCAGAAGACGGTGTACATGCGCTTACCCCACACGCGCACACACACTCTCACAATGTTCGAGATGTGTATCAGGCTGGTTCTTGCTGATTGTCTCGACACTGCTCATGCCCACTCACCCACCCACCCACTCTCACTCACTCGCGCCTACCATGACTGGACCGAAACCAAACACCACGGGAAGCTGCACACCCTCTCGGGCAGAAGCCAATGTTCGGATTCATAGGTGGCTTCAGGCACTGCCGACCCAGCCTCCCAGGCGCGTTCATCTTCAAAGGCACCATCGTGAGACACAAAAGCGTGAACACGTGTTTGCAATCTTCGAATGAGAACAGGTTTTTGACCCTCCATGTCTCGGTCACCTGGTCCACAGCTCGACCCAAAGCGAGAGCATGGCCTGCGATCTTCAGGGGGCACTTCGTGCAAACTGCACAGCTCCTGTGCCTCGTCATTTGCAGCCGGTGTCCATTTCTGCAGAAGCGCCACGGCCTTCGGTCGCCACTCGGCCACTCGCAACGGATTTCGAAGCAGGGCAGCTGGGCCTGGTCCACCAGCTTCCGCGCCTCCTCGCCATCCTGCCATGCACTCGGAGACAACCCTAAAAAACCTCAGCAGAACACATGATTCGGCAGAAGACACGTCCTTCGCCTTGGGCATTGACATTATTGCCACCATGATGTCGACTTCACTCCCCTGCAAGCTTCTATGTTCTACATGCTTTCATTCAGACTCGCAGCTCACACCGCTCTCCCATCCCAGGGTGCAGGGTCCTGCAAGTCACTCGGATCCGCAACTTCCGGCCCTGCAGCGTTCGCTACATCGGCTGCGCTCCCACCACAGAACAGCTGAGCCTTTCTTGTCCTTCGCAGCTGGGACCTGGCTAGCGAATAATTTCTCCAGCGCGTAGAGGGTGGAGAGCCATCCAAAATCAAAACGCTCCACCCTCTTCAGGGTCGTTTCGAGTACACATGTCACAAGTCACACATGTTGGGAGGTGTTGCCGCAAGTGCATTGAACATCCACCTGCTTGACAAGTAAACTGCCACATGCTTCAGCACATGCAAGTTTCAGCTGTAGCTATCTCAACCTAGCAGGACCTAGCAGTTCGACAGTTCTGCTGACTTTGACGAAGGAGTGTCTATTCCTGTCCGCAAAAGAAAACAGCAATGTATGACACACGCATGCTCTAAGAGAAAGAAACTCCGCAGTAGTTCATGGTGGCCTGTCGTCCCAAATTGTCCCAAACTTCTCAACCCCCATTCATAGAGTTCCGTGGGGCAAAACAGTTTTTCCTAACCCTGAGCAACAAGAAAGGTACCGAACTCGAGTCTCTTTTAAAAGGTGCGTGGACCGCGGGCGCCGAAAGCCATCCCAGACCAGCCGGCTCCACAGCGTCCAGACGCGCAGGCCGAAGCTTGGTGACATCTGGCAATGGCTTGTCGTTCTCCTGCCCGGAGAAGCCAGCAGACGTGTCTTTGAAAGGCTTCGTGGACCCGAAGAGTGTCGACAAATCGCGAACTCAAGCACCTTGCAGAGTTGCGCCACCCTAGCCATGATATCCTTCCGTTCGAGAGGGCCCAAACGCTTCCTTGCCAGATTGGGAGGCTGATGGCAAATGCCAGTATCGTACATCTCACCCCATTGCAGCACACCTAGCCAAGCCACATGACGGTGAGCTCGTCTGTCTCCAGTACTTTCAGGTTTCCCACAACGACATTTGCATTGATGTGGGCGAGAGTGAGGCAAGCGGCGAGATCAGGCTTCAATTCACCTCAACCAGCCAGAAGCAACAGAAGCAAAAAGATTCCCCGTCAGTGTTAACTTGCGGAGCAGGGGCTGTCTGGTAGGGCCGTCGGACCCGTTAAGTACTTCTGAATATCCTGCAGAGCGCCTCGATACTCCTGCCAAAGCTAAGTCGAAAGCGCGAGTCTCACTGCGCAGGGCGTGGGCTTGCTTCTGCTGCATCACATTCCTGCAGGGTCCGCTTCAGCAACTTGGGCTCCTCGTGGCCTCAAGGGCATATCCACAGCACCCTCAACAAAACATCGGTGAGCTTCGCAGCATCACTGCTGTCATGTGCCGGCAAGCTGCTGTACCAAACGGTGTCCAAATGCAAATTCCAGAAGTGTACCTAGAGCGGCAGAAGGTTGAAGGCAAAAGAATCGAGGCTCAGCAGGTCCGACTTCCGGAGCACCAAGCCATTGGTGACCATCCAGTGCTGTCCAAACTCTTGGCTTTTCGCGAGGCCGTACAAGATGCTCCTGTCGTGGACATGGCTGAAGCATAAGTGGAACAAGTTGCTGCGGCTGGCGCCTGATGAGTTCACGCTTCTTGTCCGTGATGGCAGCCTTCTCCTGAGCCACCAAGGCCCGCGTTCGGAATTGAAGCACTGCAAGCTTGCCGCCGCGTTCTTATGGCGAATTTTATCCACGAATTCACCAGCAATTGTATTCCACATCGCGCCTCGGGCGTCAGCTCCCGAAACTGCTCCTGCAAGGCTCACCAAGTCACCATGTCAATGCAATGCTGGCCAGGTTTGCACGACAACCTGCAGGATTGCTGAGGAAATTTCGGCAGTCACGATTCCTCGCTTTCGCTGCCGTCATCCGGAATCTCTTCCACGGGCTCCTGCAAAGCACGGCCCTACAACGAAGCCGGCCAAGCCCTGATGCAGACCGGCCCGCCTCCTGCTCCTCAGGGATCTCTTCGCCGATACCATTCCTAGACAAGAGCATAAAACAATATCAGCGATGAAACTCCCCCTCTGTGACTCAGCAGTGAAGCAAGACTGAGACTAAATGCGGCAGAGTGTCAGGAGGCCCAAATCTTCTACATCCCAAGAGAGGCACTGAGACTTCGTGTAGGCACAAGCAGCCAGCAGCAAGGCCCCCTCGACTTCAATCGGTGCAGGCCCGAAGCTGATCGTGTCAGCTGTGGAGATGGCTTTCGTACAAACCTTCACAGCAAACTCGCCCTCCTCGGCTCGCTGGGCTTCTAAGCTGCAGCGGCACATCAGCATCAGAATCTCCTTGGCCTTCTGAACCGCCTTCTCTCGCTCGCTCTGGGGCCGTCTGTCCAGGATTGGCTTCCCCTCCATCTCGGCCTTTCCGCCAAGCAGAAGGGCGGTTGCAGGCGCCTGGTGGGGCAAGGGTTGCAAAGGGCTTTCGTCCAAAATGTGCCGAGGCGGTGGCTCGAAAGTCTTGCTGAGCTGCTCCATCCGCTCGGGCAAGATCAGATCCTCCAAAACATTTTCTAGCTTCGCGAAGGCCTGGACCAGGAGACTGTGATTCAGCTTCTTCTTCTCCTCGGACAAAGGCATGACCTCGCCATGCTCATTCTTCGCACCAGTAACTTTGGAAACCTGGTCAAGCACTAACATGACTTGGTCCACAGGGTCTGTAGGCTCTTCGTAGAGGGTCGTCTTCCAGTAGAGAAGATGCAGCTGGCTGTGCATGGCAGTGTCGAAGCGGCGCAGGTAAGGGGCGGGATCCCTTCCAAGGCCATCATCGGCCGGTGTGGCCAGGATTTGCTTCACCGGCTCCAAAAGCTCCGAGTCTGCAGCGGTGTAGTCCAAAGCGTTGGCCCGCTGGTATTCTGCCGATCCTTTCGTCAACAAGTCAGAGGAGACCTCACAATGAGCCACCTCAAAGTGAAGCTGCACCCTCAAGTGGATCAGCCTGTTCGACTGCATCTCTTCCAAGAGCTCGGAACACTTTTGTAGGGGCTTGTGTATTCGAAAGCGGTGCTGGTCACACATCAGCTCGCGCGAGATGTTCCACATGACCACTGCACACTCTTCGATCAGGTCAAAAGCCTCGATCCTCCGGGCTGTCATGATGCACTGCTCACAGAGTCTCACTGCCCTGTGCCGCGTATCGATCTCTCGCTTTTCCTGCTCAGCTGCTGAGAGTAGCATCTTGGATGTCGGGTCCTCTTTCTTAACATTGCAGGCTTGCCAAACATCGCACTCTGCCTTGCAAATGTCGAGGAGTATTCGACCCCTGCCGGGGGGGATCTGAAACTTTTCAAGGCGGGCAACCATGCAAATGGCCAGTGGCCAATTCTTGGCACAGCAAGCGGCGCGGACTGCCAAGGCAAGGTCTACGAGCATCTGCGGTTTCACGTTCCCTCGGGTCACTTGCCCACCATCCGGGCGAGTTCGTGGATCTGCAGCGAAGGTGTCTCTTGCAGCTCGCAGGTCGTAACCGCTGTCGATGCTCGACCATGCTTTGATCAGCTCTTCACCCGCTGCATCGGCAGCTGTTCCACCGTTGCAAATGAAGAGGGTGGCGCCGAGAACAGCGCTGCCGCTTGCCTTCACAACATCGTCCTTTACCTTTCCGGGAGCCTTCCGGCTGAAGAAAGCTTTGGCATTCCACACCAGCTGCTGCAGGCTTGCGCCACGAGCGGCCAGTGCTGGATTCGAGGCAGTCGAAGGTTCCTTCAGGAGCTCGTCAAGCAGCGCGCTTGCTTCGTCCACCCTCTTCTGAGCGTCCGCTTCGCGGCCCGCGTCCTCGAGCCCGAAGGCCAGGTTCAGCGTCATTTCAATAAGCCAGGGGAGGTCGATTGGCACCGGGATGGCGGCTGTGGCACCTCCTTTCGCGGGCTTACCTCCACCACCGCCCGTTGCAGATGCTGCTCTGACTAACTTCAACGCTTCCAAGACTTGAGTTGTCTCATTCAGTATGTATTTCTGCCATCCAGACCGACACATTGGCCGCGCCACTTTCCAAAACACCAACGAAGCGTTGTAGATCAAGAAGCCATAACCTGATGCACTCCCCTCGTTCAGGTTTAAACAGACTTGCATCGGGATGCTTCTAAATTCAGCTGCGATGCGGCTGTCGTTTTGTGCCCAGCCAGACTCGCTTGCTATGCTCAGGGCCTGCACCGAGCATATCATCTTGGACAGGCGTTGCTGCTATATTTCGGACCGCAAAACTTCACTAACAAACCTTTGCTGGAAGACTGGAGAAATTACAACAAGCAGAGTGGCCCTGCGGTGTCGGTGCTGTCGGTGGTGCCTCCGGTGCTGATGCTGCCGGTGATGCGGGTGGTTGCCAGTGCTGGTGGTGCTGGTAATGTAGTCCGAATTTGTAAGTGTAGGGAGTGTACGCCAAATCGAGCTGGAAGAGTCAGACTGCAGGACAAACAAAACGACGGAGCAAGTCACGAGGGAATTCTTGCCTTGACAAGGTACTCCTGCAGTGCATATTGCAGCTGCCTTGGATTGACAGAGCCGGCGCAACACATCAACGTCGAGCCTCAACTGTGAACCATGATGCTGAAGAAGGTGGAGGCCTTTCAGCCCATGTCGCATGCCAAGGCGTGCTTGACAAAGGCAGCGGATGAGCAGCGCCCGTACAGTGTACCTTGCTTTGAAGTCGGGAACTTGCACCCGCGCACATGCTGTGCAGAAAGAGTCAAAATACCTTCAAGCCGGAGCAAAAGTTGCGTTGGCACCAGCCTCAGCTCTACAACCCTGCCAGTTTTTCCAAGCAGCTGGTTCTCCTCACATGCTAATCGGTCGTAGAGTTGAAGAGAACGCTCGGCCTGCTCGTCGTGGCCTCCGACATCCTGCCGCACAACATCTTTGAGCTTCACAGTACCCGCCCAGTAAACCACTAGCTTTACTTTGAATCCAAGAGGCAGAAGCAGCCTCAGCGAAAAAAACCAGGAGCTCCGGGGCAAAGTCTTCTCCTCTTGACGGACACTGTCGTAAACGTCTTGTGTACAACGGCTTGCAATGCCAAGCACAGTTGGCTGCAGTCGAGGAAGGGCTCCTGTGGAAAATCGACTTGCGTTGCCCTCGATGATGACAAAGGCATCGTCTACAAGCTTGTGGGCCCTTGCGACCAATAAAGTCATGTCGGGGCAACATGTCATGCCGAATTCCAGCACTTCTGGGGCCGGAGCTGTTGCTCACTGGCCTTTGTAGCCTCTTGAATAAGCCGCCGCAGGTGGTAATCCGTTGAGGCCATGCCTGTTCAGGAAAGCTCTATTGACTCCGCATCACGCCTGCTTCATGCACGAGTTCATGTCTTCGTCACAGAACTTCCACTTTGGTCACTTGGGCCTCGGCCGCAAGCTGCCCTGAGCTCAGTGCTGGCCTCGCAAGGACAACTGCAGAACCCTTTGGGGGAAGAAGCAGGCGGCCCCCACATGGCCTTGACCAAAGGAAAGCGGGTGAATTCGATCGGTGCAGACTGCAACCAACATGCATTTGTTCAAAGATTCATGTGTGCCAATGTCGGTTTGCTGGGCAACTTCACCCTGAGGCTGTGCCTGCATTCTATTGGAGAGCTATTTTAAACCTCTGAGTCCTGGTCAAGCGTATGTGAACGCCTCTCCCATCTGACAGAATTCAGCGACAAGTCTTGTGAACCTAGGTGGCCTTGAGCAGTATATGATAAGCTGCCGGTCTGTCTCAGTTTTGAAGTGCAACTGCCCCGCATGCAAGGTGAATTGGCAGCAACTGCAGCGGTACATTTTCACATGCACTTACTGCTTGTCTTGGTGCGAGTACTTTGGCATAAGTTGCATGCAATGTCTTGCAAGGACGTCTCGCACAGCGGCGAACCAAAGGTGAGCTTCTTGTCAGACCCACCCGTCACCTGAGGCCTTGCCGTCCTCGGAATAGCTTTGCTGGAGACCTGGAAGCCTGCTAATCTTGCGAGGCCTTGCTGCGAGGTGAGGTTTTCTACAAAATTGCCGAGGTTCAAGCTCCCGCGGACGCTTTACATTTCGCCCGGTAAAGACTCACGGATTGGATGAAGGGCTGCTAATTCTGAAAGTCCAAAGGTAGCTTGATCTCCTTCAAGAAATTTCGCTAAAGCTTTGGATGCGAATTACATCGTGCACTGCTAGGGACTGCCCAGTGGATGACGATGATCCATCCAGTCGCACACCTATGTCCGCCGATTTCTGGTGCTTCTGGAAGTGTGATGATGTCGGCTATGTCATAGTGTAGCTATGCTCACAAAACAACACAGCGCACAGCAAGAGCCATCCCTGTCGCAAGAATACTCGTAGTGCTGATGCTCATACTGCATCGTGTAGTAGTGCTGATGCTCATACTGCATCGTGTAGTAATAGTACTAGTTACTAGTCCTACAGCTACAAGGACTTCCGCAGCTTCTACTATTCCTAATTCTTTCACAACCAGGAGGCCAGGATGCGCCGCCACGGAATGTCTGCATCTACATGGAGCGAAACGACCCGCACGAACAAAAGGAAACCCCGCCTGCCCGCCAAACCAAGAAAGCAGGACGGAACTGGAAGTTGTAGGAAAGACGAAAACGCCGGGCAAAGCCGTTCTGTCACAGGATCAGTAATCCGAAGTCACATGTGTAGGCATGAATAGTGACTTCAACAGCACTGGTTCTGAGTATTCAGCCAAGCAGAAGCACCCGAAAAAGACGCAAGCACCAGTGGTTCGGAAGTTAGCACCCCCACCCGCCAGGAAAGCTGCAGAAATGCAAGAACTGGCGGTGCCAAACAAGAAGTAAAGACTATGGCCGAAGGAAGAAATTCGAAGGCAGGGAAGCCCGACTAATTATCTAACCGGCCTCAACCCTCCACATGCTTGCACCTTCCACAGCGGGCTCCAAGAAGCTTGATTCCTCCTCCTCCTGCCGCCGCACTGCCGCTGCCGCTGCGCTGTCACTGCCACTCCGACTGCTGCTTCTACTGCTGCTGCTGTCGCTGCTACTGCTGCTGCTACCACTCCTACTCCTGTTACTCTTGCTGCTATTGCTCTTGCTGCTATTGCTCGTGCTACTGCAATCCCACCACGGCCGTGGTGGACAACAGTTCCAGCAGAAGCAACGTCAAGTGCAAGAACAGCCTCAACAAGAAGAAGATCAGTAGTATCTGTTACGAGATGCAAATCAATCAGGAAACAACCGCGAAGAGTCACTGCTGCAACCAGGGATAGACAAGGTCACCACGGCAATGAAAACTGGAAACTGGTGAGGACAAGTAGGCATGGCGACAAGTGCAAGACAAGTGTTAAAGAGTTCATCACAGGACATGAGCGTGAGCGTTGGCAGGGAACACGTCATTGGAGGCTCATGAAGGCCCGAGCCATGAACAAGCTCCAGGTATCGAAGTATGAAGTCACGGAAATGACGGACACAGGTTTTTGGGGCAAAAGCTCCCTGAGCCTTTCGTGTGGGCCCGACTTGCTTGCGGGACACCCCTCAACTCAGGCGTGGCACAACCTGGGTTGGCTGCCAAACGCCTTAGCTGCCAAACAAAGCCCTGTACAGAAAACCGACACTCACTGTTGGAGCAATGGTTTCTGAATTCAACCGCATAACGTATCTGCATGATCGCATAACTCCTGCACACGGTGCTGTCACACCTGCCTGTGCGCCCAGAGTTGGACAACATCTGGGGTGCTCAATAATTGACAGCGACTACAGCGGAAGTGCATGCTTTTCTAAAATCGGTGACGAAAAAGCCTTAATGAAACGATATGTCAAGAAGTAGGACAAGTAGGAGTTGCCGGGAAGAAGTATCTTCATGACTTTGTGCAAGCAAGCTGTTTCCGCGGTGCAGGGCTGCAGCAACTCGGACGAAACGTCTGATGCCGCGCCACGGCAACGATGGGTCGCATCTCATGTGTGGTTTCTGTTTCTCTCTCTCGATGACTCTGTCATTGGCATACCTAGAGATCCTGTGTCAAGTCATGGCGGCCCTGAAATGCTCTGAAGCATTGCTTCCATACCATGGCGCGGCACTACAAGTGTAGAAAATGGGTGAAGAAACAGGCATGTCTGTCGAACATCAAACCAGACTTGCAGACTTCCAACATTCTCGCATCTGTAAACTTTAGGAGTCGTCTAGGCTACGTCGAGAGTACAATTGAAAAGGGCAACAAGTCTGCTTGGAAAAACAGCCACACCAATTAGTCGCAAGGCCTACCTGCGGTCAAAAGCCAAAAGATGAACTTGCACACTCCAAGCCGCAAATCCCTCGCGTAAATTCTGCATGCCGGCGTGGCTTGGAGCATTCGCAGCGATTCGACCTGGGCCTTCTCTCAGCGACTTCCAGTCTTGAACGACCTGTTTGCCAAAGTGACGAGAATACGTCACAGTATGTAACATAGCAACACTTCCGACCGAAGTCAAACCCGGCTTCGTTGACATCCTCCTCAACCTGTGCCATGAATCTTTGATCAGGACTTGCTGAAATCAAGCGGTGCTGGAGCCTTGAAGTGTGAGCATGCTCGTGGACGATTAGCCTGACGTCAGAGGTGAGGCTTGAACTCTAGGTATGATCCGTCTGAGTCGAAAACATATGCTGGTAATGTTTGGCACTTTACAGGTGTGAGGTCAGCTGTGCATGAACCGACCCTTCCAACAAAGGCTACCGGCTACCGGTCTACTGATTTTATCAATCGTGCGATCTTTCACCTTCAGCTCGCACAGCAGGCATGGTTTTGAATGAGGGCGCTGTCTGAGTGCAGCCCAGGGGCCGTAGTAAGATTTGTTCCGCACAAGGCTTGGCTCGAAGGTGCGGCTAGATTGCTTCCTGTTCCAGCGTCATCCAAAATGTCGCAGCATCCGCCGAGTAGAATCTTGTGAATCTCAGGTGCTGACGGGTCAGAAGTTCTCGGCTTTGCCTGGCATTGGCCAGAGGTCCTACAATGCCTTTGATCCTGAATTAAGTGACTCGCTGCCTTTAAGGAGTGCTGACCACGGGCTCGGGCACGGCTCCCGGCAACCACCATCTTCTTGTAGAGGTCCTAATCGTCAACGCACTGCGGAGGTGCTCCAATGCCAGCTCATGCTGAGAGGATTGTTGCAAGCTCTACTAAGATGGGCACTGCAGGAACTGTTGTCATCTTATCGATGTAAACCTTCAGCAAGTCTAGCATGGATACTTCCAGAATGGCCATGTACACCGGCATAGGGCATAGCATGCAGGAGTGTCATATGTAAGACTCCGACTGCCTCCTGAACTTGACTCGGCTTCGTTGCTTGACAGCGCGGATTTCCTGTCGTGTCAGGCACCTGGCGAAAGATGTGTGGACGAAGCCACGAAACAAGCTCACCAAGAAGCTCAGCCCTCCACGCATTTCTTGGGTGTGTAAGCCGCGGCCTCGTGAAAGAATCATACATGCATGCCGATGATGCTCACAGCCTTCATCTCGTGCCTCGTGCAAAGGACGTTTGCAGTTGCATAATCTCGCCTCAGCGGAAGGACCCCATCTCTGATGCAATCTTCATGAGCAAGGTTTCGCTCAGGCTCACACGAACCATGTGCCAAACCTAGCAGGAGCTGAACAACCCGAGATGCAACCTCAAGAACAGCCAACATCTGCTGTACGCCAAGCGGCGACGAGAAAGCCATCGGGAGTCGGATTGATGCACCCTCCCCGTCTCCGAATGATTTGGAACAAAGTCTCTGCATCACAACCGGAGGTTCAAGGATGCTGCTGCATGTATGTCCACAACGACATACCTTGTCCGCCCAATCACACTTGCAAACTGCCTACCAGTGCATTACAGACAGGGGCAGCTTTCTGCGTGCGTTCTCCGTTCTTGGGCTCGGGTTTTCTCTTTGCATGGTTTGGTTTTCAGTTCCTGCGAAATGCAACACTGAAGACTTCATGCCCCTCGGTGTGCGTGTGTAGATATATATATATATA